TCTCCATTCCCTCCCAAATCCAGGGGAAGGTACTGTAAAATCCCCATTCCCTCTCGATCAGCTGGGCCTTGGGAGGCAGAGAATGGATGGGGGCAGGGCCAGTCAGAGGTGGTATTTACTGATTCTCTGAACTACTCAAAATTTCCACTGCCATTTCTCGAGAACTGGTCAGAACCTGCTGAATACCACCTCTGGTTGAGTCTCAAACCATAGATTAGGAATCATAATGACTGAGTCATAAAGGTAAAGATAAGGTTTTCCCAATCCAGTAGTGTCTGACTCTAGGGGGAAGTGCTCATCCCCAATTTTAGCCAGGTGAGAAAGTGTTGTCCAAAGACACTTCATGTGGCCAGCATGACTATACACCAAATGGTCATATAGGACCACTATATGGCGACTATATGTTAACTTCCCACTAAAGTGTTATGTACTTTATTTACTTGCATTTGCATGCTTTCAAACTGGTAGGTTGGCAGGAGCTGAGACACGTAACGGGAATTCACCTATTTATTTATTTGCCACCATTCTCACTCAGAAAAGTGGCTCTGGATAGCTTATAAGTATAATGTTTCCAATTTTTCTAGTAATCAAGATGTCTTATGTTGCATGGATTTTCCATTTCATGTCTCGGAGAATCCCCTGTGCTAAAAGAACTACAGATGAGATGATATTTGATCTATGGCATCTACAGGCAATCTAAGTAAAGCTTCAGATTGTAAATTATAGTGTCCATATTAAACTAGGTAGACTAAAATATGGTCCGGAATCAACCAGCTTCCAGTATTCTTGAAGAAATCTAGTTGCTAGATGTGAGAAATTTGTTTGCAGACGTTTCGTCATCTAACTAGGTAACATAATCAGTGCTAATGAGTCAGTGGTGGGTTTCAAAAAAATTTGGAACCTCTTCTGTAGGTGTGGCCTGCTTTCCGGGTCCACTGGTGGAACCTCTTCTAACCAGTTCGGTAGATTTGATGAACCGGTTCTACTGAATAGGTGCGAACTGGTAGGAACCCACCTCTGTAATGAGTGTAGCATTTATTTCCTTTTTATATATAGTAGCTTGCCCTGCCAATATTAGTGTTTTTCTCTTGGTAGTTCCTTGATTAGGATTCTGTTTTCTGCTGGTCTGTCTGGTGTAAATCTCTACTTAACTGAAGACTGCTGGAAAGAATGTGTTTTGGTCATTTTATTTCCTTAACATTTTTATTTTATCTTTTGAATGGTGTGTAAATGTAGTTTATTTCTGTATGTTTGTTGATGACTTATTCAATGGAAAAGAGTATATGTAGCTCCTGGTTGAACTTGGAGCTCTCTGAGTGCTGAAAATCAACAGCTCTCAGTGCTCAGACTAGTTATATATCCAGGAAGGGGGGTGGTCCTTCTTTGAATTATCCATCATATACAGAAATTATAATTTACCCAAGGACCATTGTTGTGAAATTAATAAGAGCTGGAAATCCGTTCATGTACATAGGCTTTGCAAGTATTGAGTACCAATTAAGTAACAACATCGATGGAGGGAAATAGATTTGGTATAACGTACACTCCAAACACAAGACTTTAGAAGGGCACCTATGAAGTTGTAACTTTAAACAAAAGGCCATCAAATTAAAGGATCATTTTTAAATAAAGCATGACTACAAGCTTCATCACTTACCCTATTTCCTACTTAGGCCTAAATATGTATATAGAATCACCATAGCTTTAGAAAAAGACAAGTGTGGCTTTCTAATGACTTAGTTTTTAACTGATCAGTATAGTTTACTTTCAAAGGAGTATTTCTTTAAACATGATTGTACCTTTTGTGTCTAACAGAATTGGGAATTGGTTCAATAATGAGCAAAGTAACAAGGATAATTTTTACTAGGCCACCACTAGTATCAATCAACCTATTTTCACTAAAAATAATTAACATAGAAAACAATTTATTTCTTAAGAATGAAAAGAGCAAGATTGAATGAGAAAGCTATAGAGGCTGAATTGAGTAAATGAGTCTACAATGGTCACAGAATCAAAGGTGCTACTGGTAATTTGCATCAACATACCATGTGTTTGCCAGCTGCAATTTTTGATACAGCACCCTACAGCTTCATATTTGTAATGATCAGCTACTGTTTTGGTTTTACCACTGCAAGAAGAAAGCATGATCAAAGCCATCAGGTTACCATTTTTTTAAAAAAAATAGTTAATAGGAAAGATATTTTCTTATTGAACTTTAACTGAATGCTCCTTCAACAGCTACTAGCTGCAACATCTACTTGAGTCACAACCAGAACATCATGTTAACTGTTGTAACATCAACAGTTGTAAGTTTCACAAAGAAGTAGCTACCTTCTCCTCTCTGAAAAAAACTTGGCACATTCCATGGGCTTTTGCTTTTAAAATGGATAAGATAGTGTTCACAGATTTATACGCATTTCTGCAACTGAGTTAATAATTATGACAAAAATGACAACTGCTATTACCGTAAAAAGAAAATAAAGCCAGAAGCTTATATAACACAGCAACACATATATCATTCTCCAGTGTTGGCCCTTAGACAGAGGAAAATACTTAATGCCAAAGCATTCCAGAACAAAACTGAACTCCTCCACCCTGGCTGACATCCCCCATATCAAAATTTAAATTTAAATAGACTTATATTATGTATAGTTCACTAGAACAGAAATAATTAGTATTAAAGAATGCATGTTGGCTACTAATTGAAAAAATCGTACAAAGCTCTATTCTTCAGAACTATTTGTTTTTGGGGGTTTTTTTTTAACCTCTCCCTCATTTGTTCTGAATGCAGTTTTGGAAAATAAAGTTCAAGTTGTTACTGCAGCCCATTTTAAATTAGAATCTGATGCTGCTGCCCCACCTCCACATCTGTTATGTTTTAAGGAATTAAGTCACATGTACTCTTTTGTCCATAAAACCGGATGACTTTGCAAAAGTAACTTGTGTTCATTAATCTTTGCAATGATGCCAGGTTTGTCCTCAGAGAGTGAAATGCTTTAGCTGAACCAGCATCCTATCATCTTTTGTGGAACCACAAAAGCTAGCATCATTTATCTTTCTCTTTGATTCTCAAATAAACTTTGTATCTTGAAAAGACACAAAACTTTAAATTCTGGTTCAGATTTTTTTAAAAAAAATATATTTGTATTAACATTATAATTCTTACAACTTTCAGTTCCAGGAACTGAAGTGTCCAAGTAAGTTTAAAAGGTATAATAGGTTATATCCTTAAATTCATTAGATTATATTATTGAAAACATTGCACATGCATACATAAATACATACACATTTAGAAATGTGTACAACATACAAAAAGTCTTGGGACTTTTGAAAAATGCTAACAAAAGTGATTAAAGTAGTTATGCTTCACTGGACACTTAGGAATTAAGTTTACCTGGGCTTGTCGTGATGTCCTACTATATGCTTTATTGCTGTAAACTGCCAAAAGTTTTGGAATAGGATGGCATAGTACAAATTTATGTAATAATAAATATGGGTCATTCTCACCACTCATCAAAAGAGAAAAATGAATCCCAGAAGTCCACTATCAAGGAGTTGCAGATCAAACTGTAGGCATTTTAGTAGGTTACAGAATCTCTTTATGTTTCCTCGGAAGAAATTGGACAAAGGATTGCAGCCTAAAAATCAACACCAGTTGTTTTTTGTTTGTTTAAAAGAAACACATGTATAGTCCAAATAGTACCTTTAAAAAAAGAGCTTTCTGACTTGAAACCGCTCCCTTCTTCAAATCTTTTCACGTGGATACAGAACACAGAATAACGTGATACTAATTAATGCTTTTCGCTCTATCAGCTGTACTTCTGCTGGTACCAAAACATCCCCCTGGGCGGAAAAATCCGCCTGATTGACACTTGCTGACACTAGTTTTGGATTGTAGCCCGCAAATACGGAAATCCACTGATTACTACCTCAGATAACTACCGCCCCACCACCACCTTACCTAACCTAAACGTAAAAAGCAGAGCAAAGCGGAAGAAAACGCTGCCGCGGGATCTATCACCGAAAAAAACAGATTCAGCTCCCCAATAAATGCCAGACGAAGAAGCGCCGCGCCGAAGCTTAGCGCCTCCGACGAAGTTGAGGGGATCGGACAAAAAAGCGACTTTACACAAGACCTTCAGGTCGCAGGCAAGTTTACTCAAGAGTAAAATTTCTCTTCGCACAAGAAGGGAGGGGGGGTGCTCGCTCTTGAAGGCAGACCCACCCAACTGCAGTCTAAAACGGCTCCTGGTGGACGAACCCGAGCCAGCGCTGGCCCAGCAGTCCACTACCGTAAGGGAACTCGTAGGGTCACACAAAAGAACCGGAGAGACGGGCAAAATCCGAGCAAAAAAGCCACCTTTTTGAGGGGCGCATCTCGCCTTTCTCTGCCCGAGCGCGCCTTCCTTTTTTTTTTTTTTTTCTTCCCGGAAAGCAAAAGTACGGCGCCAACTTTCCGCCTGCTTTTTTTTTAAAACGAGAGGGCAAGATGCCGGTATCAGAAGGGGGGAGAGAGGGGTGGGTGGGGTGCTACCACGCCAACAAGCAGCACGAGAAGCGACGCAAAAGGGGGCGCGGGACTCCGCCGAGACCAAAGGGAAAAGGGAGCGAGTTACATTCCCCCCCCCCGGGGTGGGGTGTTTAAAAAAAAAAACTTCAGCACGTCGCTGAGGGAAAGTTTCGAGCCTTCCTCAACGGGGGCTGCGCCTACGAGGGACAACCTGAAAGCCCCGCGGTGTGTGGAGATGGGAGGGAGACTGTTCCCTCCTCCTCCTCCTCCTCCTCCTCCTCCTCTTCTTCCGCAGCATCCTTAGGAAAGCCACCCGGCGTTCAACAGGCTTTCCCCTCGGGCCACGGGCGCACGCGCGCTCTTTGCCGCCACAAAACCATTCCTTGGTCTCTTGTCAAGCTCTTCCACCTCCCCTTCCCGCCCCGCTCCTTCCTGCTTCCCTTCCTCGAAGAAGACAAAAAGTTTTTTTTTAAAAAAAAAAAAAACAAACCCTCAAGCCAGGGTTCCCTCGACGCCCGCTTTCTCCTCCTCCTCCTCCTTCCTCCTCCCCCTCCGCTCCTGCTTCTCCTCCTCCCGCTGTCAGTCGCCGAAAGGAATCCCGAAGCCAACGCCAAGTCATCAAGTTCTCCCTTCGTCCAACTCCAGCCAGGGGATTTTTTTTTTTCCTCCGGACTCCGCGTGTGCGTTGGGCCGAAGGAAACGGGCGCGAGGGCGTCGGAGGGCGACTCTGCAGCGAAAAGAGCCAGCCGAGGACGGCTCCGGAGGGGGGGGGGAGCGGGGGGGCAAAGCTTGCAGCCCCGACGGACGACTGCCTTCAGACGACCCCAGGCGACTCGCGACGGCGGACACACACGCGCGCCCGCGCGCGCGGCGTGAGAGAAAAAAGCGCGCCGCTCGCTGCAGCCTCCTTGGCTTCGGTCTTCTGGGCTCAGTCACTGAGGGAAAGTTTCCTGACGTCACGGCCCTGGGCTGGCTGGCTTCCCCGCCTCGCTCCCCCACTCCCTCCCCTTTCATCTGCTGGAAACTGCAGGGTGGTGTGGCTCCCTCAGCCTAAGGCCAGCCGTGGGGCTGGGACGACGGGCTGCTTCCCCCACCCCGAGTATATGTAACGGCTCTTTCCTTCCCCTTCTATTACTAAGAGACAGAACTTTTATGTTCCTAGATTCTCTTTTCGATCGTTTCGGGTGGAGGGAAAGTTTTTTTTTTATATAATTCGAGTCCGTTGGTGAAACTACAACCAAACATAACCCGCCTTGGTTTTGGTTTGTATGGGTCTTTGTTTTATTATTTGCGAACGGCCCAGACCCGGGTGGAGTTGACTGAATTAAACAAACAAATAATACATTTTTGTTAACGCTTCATCGATTTCAGAGTCAAAGCAGAGATAACAATAGCGCTCATCGCTGGTATCGCTTTCCCCAAATCCGGCTTGAGGATGGATGAATTTATTACCCTTGGCTGAACTGAATGAAGCCTTGAGGGAAAGGTAGAAGCTACCGTTGGGTGTTTGTTGATCCTGTCTTTTCTGCAGTGAACTCTGGGTGAAAAGGGAAAAAAAGCAACTGGATCTTTTATCTAATCCCCAAACCTATTCTTCAAGTTGTTTTGGTGTAACTGTAATTAGAATAGAATAGAATTCTTTATTGGCGAAGTGTGATTGGACACACAAGGAATTTGTCTTTGGTGCATATACTCTCAGTGTACATTAAAAAAAAAGATACATTCGTCAAGAATCATAAGGTACAATACTTAATGATAGTCATAGGGTACAAATAAGCAATAAGGAAACAACCAATGAAAAACAATCAGTTATGAAAACTTACCATTTCTCTTTACAAAGTATGTTTCTGTTTAACTTTTAATTTCCAATATGAAGGTATTGTGATGCCTATGATCATGATTTATCACTTATGGCTTTTATGTACACTGACAACTTATGCACCAAAGACAAATTCCTTGTGTGTCCAATCACACTTGACCAATACAGAATTATATTCTATAGTTCTGCAGAAAATCCAAGCAAGTCACAGCTTGCTTTGCCATTCTGCATAGGTCACCCTACTTTTAAAACTGTAGAGATACCTCACATTGAGCTTGTCTCCTGTTGACTGCATTTTGAGATGCTGCAAATTAGAACAAGGGAAACTATTCCTTACTACAGTAAGCCTCCTTTATTCTTGGGCTTGATCAGACTTGCCCAGTAAAATCAGGAATCTGTGCTATGCTGGCTAGGCTGTATAGCATCAGAGATGGGTAGAAAACTAGCCAAGGGCACTATAATTCTGCCAGTGTTGTTAAGTTTAAAATGTGTCAATCATCTATCAGCTTATTGTGTTCAAATCAAGATCCTTTGCAGTGTTTTCCTTACCTCTCTTTTACAGAAAATAAGGAGAAGCATGATTTGGCTGACACTGAGTCAATGATGATGAATTCATTAAACTCTTTCTTCGCCTTTTATTCCATAAATCAAATACCAAGAAAGAAGGCAGTCTGTGGAACAATTTGGATGCAATGTTTTCAAAGTTAATAGCTACAGCCTTTCTGAAATCCTCTACAGATAACAAAGAGTGCGGCCAAACAAATTACTATATTTACCCAAAAGGCTACGGATTTTCCCCAAATAATTGATCTATGGAAGTGGAAGAGTCGTTTTAATAGCCTGAGAATGTAGTAGTGGAAACAAAAAGTATGGAAGTACAGGAAACAGAAACTGCTTTCAGAAATTAAGGATTACCTTCCTGTGTACGTCTGTGGGAATACATGTTCAGCAAAACATATATAATAACAAAGTGATCTATCATCATCAAATACAAAGACCTGCAAATAGAAGTAGGATGAATTTGGCAAAAGATTGTACCAATAGTATTGGTGCCTTGGGTGCAATCCCAAAATATCTGGAGTACTATTTGAACACTATTGGCATTGACAAAATCCCCATCAGTCAATTGTAAAAGGCAGCTTTACATGGAATAGCTTACAGAATAGAGTAGAATAGAATAGAATAGAATAACAGAGTTGGAAGGGACCTTGGAGGTCTTCTAGTCCAACCCCTGCTCAGGCAGGAAACCCTATATCATTTCAGACAGATGGTTATCCAATCTCTTTTAAAAAAACTTCCAGTGTTGGAGGATTCACAACTTCTGGAGGCAAGTTGTTCCATTGATTGTTCTAACTGTCAGGAAATTTCTCCTTAGTTCAAAGTTGCTTCTCTCCTTACATCCTGAAGCAAGACCTTTTAACACCATCAAATAACATCTGCCCATCCCAGGTCCTTAAGGGAGGGATGAATAATTGGATAAAAATGTGGCTCAAGGTAAGATATGCTCAAGAGTAATCAGAATAAATAGTGTAACCTCAAGATTACAGTAATAATAGTTTACAGTTGGATACTATATTTTTCTAACTATTTACTGGGTAGGAATTTGTCATAAACATTTTAGTAAATTCAGTCCAAATTACCTGAATTGGTAGCTATCTAAACAATAAATTTTGTTTTCTTTAGAACTGAAAACTCTGATCAATGTATTTATTTATATGCGTGTACTAGCTTATTCAAGGCGGCACAGTGGCTCAAGTGGTTAAGGCCATTGTTTGTTGGCTGGAAAGCCAGCAGCCCAGGTTTGAAACCTGAGCTCAACACAATGGGATGAGTTCCCATCTTCACCCCAGCTCTGCCAACCTAGCATACAAATGCAAATATAAAAATAGGTACCACTTTGGTGGGCAGGTAACAGCATTCCATGACGTCATGCTGACCACATGACTGTGGAAATGTCTTTGGACAGCACCAGCTCAATGGCCTTGAGACGGAGATGAGCACCACTCTCGATAGTGGGCAATGATTAGTGGAGTAAAATCCACATCACCTTTTTTTACTACACTTATTTTCATTTTTCCTCAATAAATATAAACTTGATAATATGCTTGAATTCTCAAGCTAAAAATTCAGTATTAATTATTCATCTTTTCCCTTTCCCCCAACTTATTCTGGGATAAGATCTCAGCTATTTCCATTTTTTTTTTGTTTCCTAAGACTGACATTATAGAAAGAAAGCTGTTTATGGTAGCCCAAACTCGGAGTTTGTAGCACCTTCTCTGACTAACAAATATTATTAAAAAGCGTAAGGCTTTGTTGAATGTAGGTCACCTGATTAAATACCTGGAATGATGAATTGATGTAGAATTTGAAGAGAGGATGAGTCAAGTAAAGGGAGAAAGTAGTTATGCAGGTTATATGTGAGACAGATTACTTCATCAGTTAGCAATTATAATATATTGAAAATCCATTGTGTTTGTGAGCTTATGAAATAGCAATAGCAGTTAGGCTTATATACCGCTTCATAGGGCTTGCAGCCCTCTCTAAGCGGTTTACAGAGTCAGCACATTGCCC